TGTGAATCCTCTTGTTGCATGAGCTCTAGCAGCAGTGGCACAGGATTTGGAAGAGGGGCGGGGGAAAGATTCCTGTGTGCTGGATGGAGGTGAACACCCCCATAAGTTCCAGCAGTGTTGTAGGGCCTGAGAAAATTCTGCTTGGGTGGCTTTAGGTGGGACTGCACAGGATCAACCCCTATAGGTTGGTGTGTGTGTGTGTGTGTGTGTGTGTGTGTGTGTGTTTTGTTTGTTTGTTTGTTTTGGGGGGGGTTGCCACTTGCCTGGTAGCTGGGGTAGGGGCCTGGCCTGGGTCTCGGCCTTGTTGCCCTATTTCCTGGTTAGCTGAATTCTACTAGATTCTGAGCTCATTGGCTTGTTTTTCTTTCATATCTATTTCTGTAAGCAGTTGATCCAGAAGCAGGCCCCCATTCCAGACCCTGCAAACACAGTGATCCACCTCCTAATCTCGGGTCCTGGGCCATTAAATCTCACGGGATAGAGTGCTGCTGATTTGGATACATACCCTAGAAGGCAGCCTGCCACCGAGCCAGATTTAGGGTGTTATTACTAATCTATGGAGAGCTCCGTCTAGCTCAGGGTCACATTACCTGAAGGATTGTTTGCTCCTGCACCATCCTCCTAGACTGCTATGATTTACAGGAGAGATCCTGCTGTCTGTGTTGTGGCCTGTGTTGCTTCCTTCTCAAAGGGACACCTAGGCAAGCCTTCTCTAGGGTGGTGTTCGCCCTGTGGAATAATCTCTCCTGTGTAAGTACTTCAGGCCTTTGCTCTCAAGTGTTAAAGGCATTTATTGAAAATTTATCTGCTTTGTCTTGGCTCTTCCCCCAGCCACAAACGGGTTGGCTTTTGCATGTAGCATTACTGTGGGTTGTTTTCTTGTTTTGTAGTGATGTATTAAAAACTGGCCGAGGTTCAGGCTAAATGAGAAAAAATATGGAAAGCAATTTAATAACTCAAAGCACCTCATTTTCACTCATGGCGTGAAAATGCTTCTCCCTATCTCACATGTGATATTTGTTTTATTAGCAGCAGCCTGTCCAGCCTTTGCTTCTGAAGCAGTGTGTCTTAATAAACTATCCAGGAGGAGAAAGGGATGACAGAGGATGAGATGGTTGGACAGTGTCATCGAAGCTACCAATATGAATTTGACCAAACTCTGGGAGGCAGTGGAAGACAGGAGGGCCTGGCATGCTTTGGTCCATGGGGTCACGAAGAGTCAGACATGACTTAACGAATAAACAACAACAAACAACCCGCTTCAATAGGATAAAATAAAATTAACTATACATTTAATCTGACAATGGATATGATTCCACTTGTTTATTGTAACTCAAAAGCACTTAGCAGTATTTAACTACCTGAATGGGTGTGAAGACAGAAGGGAAGTAGGTAATCCATAGGTTTTCTCTGAAGTTCATGAATTTATATGCATATGGATCAAGGTGCTTCTGTATCAGAGACTTAACTTCTAAAGAACATGGAGATATTGGTCTGCAAAGAAGTTTTCCATTTGCAGACATAAATTATAATACATATTTTTTTGAGGAGGCGCTCCTGTATTTCCTGCAAGAGGCAAAATTGGAGCAATTTTTCACCAAGTTAGGGGGTCTAGATACACATAACATAACATGCCCCTGACATACCATGAGAAATGTAGTGCGGAGTACAGAGTGAGAGCCAGTGTGGCATAAAAGATAGATTGTTCAATTCAAGAAACCTGGGCTAAAATCCTTGCTGAAGTCAGATAAATGAACTGATTGGAGGCAACAGTAAACCACCCCTTGAACATCACAGATATTTGAGAAACTCTGTTAGGATCACTATATATATATTCAGAAGCTACTTGACCATATAGGCACTAGAATGCAAGCAGGTTTGTGTTAAGAAAGTACTCAGGCATCCTTGGGCAGGGAGTGAGTATGAAACCAGTTCCTGGTTTAGAAATACTCTTTACTTGTTTACTAATGCTAATCAACAACTAAGGTGAAGCTCTTTGGTGACAGCTAGAGGAGTTCTTCACACACATGTGAAACATTTAAGATCCTGTGCCAGAATTTGATGGCTTAGTCCCATGTAGAAACTACATGGTCTCTACATGGGTCCACTGAATTATGGAATGATGAGTCAACACTTTGTAAATTGATTTAATGAGTCTACACTAGTTACACTCTGTGCAAGTCTTTCACATGCTGGACTGTTTTTGTGTAGCACTTCCTTGCCAGCAATATACTTATCTGGTGCACCACTGCAATATGCCATCTGGCTAAGACCCAAGGTGTTGCATTAAATAGATATCTAGTCCTGAGTTGACTTCCATGTGATTTCCCTCATCCTGCCTCAGTATTCACACAGAAAATATAGAGATCTTAGAAAAACGTCTATTCATATCATTCATTAAGATCCACACTCATCATGTGGCTGTTTAAGTATGGGCAATCCCTGTGTTGTGTTCAATGTGTGGAGCCTCTTTTTGTGTGAGTGGCATGTAGAATATTTTTTTGCTCATGCAGGCTTTGCTTCAGGCCTCAGTGATAAGATCAGTTATGAAAGCCCAGCTTCTGAGGGAGTTATTGACAGAAGCTGAGTATTTGGCGGCACATGACAAAGCAATTAGGTAAATTTAGGGCAACTTTATCATTGTGCATGCAACTGCTGATGTCAACCTGTGTCCTTTTAGTCCCGCTTTATTTGTTCTGATTTTAGTATATGGTGTATTTTAGAAGCAATGAAACCTTCTCTAAGCATTTCAGAAAGCAGCACATGTGCCACTGTTGTATATTAAGTGTTACAAATATAGTTATTAAAAAAGCCTTGTGTGTACAGTGGTGCCTCGACTACGAACTTAATTGGTTCTGGAACTCTGGTTGTAACTCAAAATGGTCATAAGTCAAAGCACCATTTCCTATAGGTATGCATTGAAATGCAATTAATTTGTTCCAGCCAAAGAAAAAAATCACCAAAACCCCCACAAAAATCAAACAAACACCAAACACTGCAGGACCCATCGGAAATACGATTAATTCGTTCCAGCCGAAGGGGGGGGGAGCAAACAAACTATTCATGACCCTTCGAAAATGCAAAAAAGCAAAGCAGAAAGCAAACAACCCCCCCAAGACCCATCAGCAATGGGAAAAAATCCCAAAAAGCAAACAAACCCTTCAAGACCCATCAGAAATCGGGGGAAACCCTAAAAAGCAAACAACCCCCCAAGACCCATCGGAAATGGGGGGAAAAAAACCAAAAAGCAAACAATGCCCCAAGACCCATCGGAAATGGGGAAGAATCCCAAAAAGCAAACAAACACTACAAGACCCATCAGAAATGGGGGGAAACCCCAAAAAGCAAACAACCCCCCCAAGACCCATCAGAAATGGGGGGAAACAAAACAAAAAGCAAATAAACGCCACAAGACCCATCGGAAATGGGGGAAAAACACCAAAAAGCAAACAAACCCTGTAAGATCCATCACAGCATAGAAACATAATCCCACCACCCAGCCCAAAACGATGCTGCAAAACCCACCCAGAACAGTTTTTAAAAAGCAGAAAGCATTACCTTACCGTACCAGCCAGTCTGAAGCCTCCTTCCATCGCACTCACTTACCTTACCATACCAGGCAGTCTGAAGCCTCCTTCCATCGCACTCACTCTAACCATTGGGGCGAAAGAGCTACAAAGAAACAGTCTCTTCGCCTACCAACGGTTAGCAATTTGAATTCCCCACCTTTCCCCCCTGCCTTTTTCTGTTCGTAACTAGAAGCTCTGGCCACAAGTCGAAGCAAAATTTTTTGGCTAGAGCTGGTCATAACTCAAAATGGTCTTATGTTGGGACGTTCGTAAGTCGAGGCACCACTATAATGTGAAAATTAGATCTATTACTGGTAAACTATCAGCTTATTTTAGAAAGTTAGCCTGTAATACTTTTGTGGTAAATCACTCAGCCTTTTCAGTTCCCTTGTCTGGGATTAACAAATAGTGGTATTTTCTCTTCCAAAACAATGGCTGCTTTTCTGTTGCTGGGTTGTTGTTGTTTTGGAAGTGAATCCAAACTCTTGTTTACTAATCCCTTCTGCCAAATACTTCTAATCTTTTGTGTGTCATGCCTGCTAGGTTCAATTTCTTCTATTGTGGGGCAGAGATTGGAAAAATTACACTAGGACACTCTTATTTTTTAATATTTTCAGACGTTATGAGCATAACATGACAGTCCCTGGGCTGCCTGGAAGGACTCGTGCTAGCACACATTTAATACAATGATACCTCAGGACCATCCCTTTGAAATTTGCTGTGAGAAAAAGCTATCAGTTGGGTGCCTGGGATTTATCAGATCAAATTAGGAATGGCAGGTGGTGTCCATTCTGGCTGATGTTGGTACTGAATTATGACAAAGAGGCCAGTTTTCCAGTGGAGGAGAATTTAGATGCTCCACTGTTGCAAAAATAAAAGCAAGCTATGAATTTTTGCTATGAATTTGACTTAAAATTCACAACTGGCTTTGCTTTTGCTGCAGTGATGGCAAGAATTTTACTAGTGCTTGTATATGTCTCCTTGTAACTTGCTGAAGATAATTGATCATTAATTAGCCACAATTAGCTGCACCAAGTTATGCAGCTCCTACACAGACACCAATAGGATTCTAGCTAATGCAGAATCTCAGATTCCCTTTGGTCTCCGAGCCAAATGTCCGTCCGTATTTGCTATTTCTCTCTACTGTGTCACAACTGGGACAGAATAGGGACATAAAAGCCCTGGAGATCTGCTTTTTTGCCCCTTCCCCTTTACAACCTTTCTCTCCTGCTAAAAGGCACAAAATTTGCCATGCCTTGCCAAGGGCATGGCGTTTGCGTATTGGACGACAGAGATGCCTCTGTGTTCTGCAAAAATCCTTTTAATGACTTTTGTAAACATGTCCATTGTACATTCAGTTATTTTTCTGAGAGGACAGTGGATTGCATACCCACTCTATTTGCTTGTTGTTGTTGTTGTTGTTGCTTAAAGGTCAAGATACTTCAGACCAAGCAAAGCTGGGCCCTGTGGAACTGACAGTGATGATAACTGTGCCAGTCTGTGTCTTGTCTGTAGCTTTAATGCTGACTGTGTACACCTGTCAAAGCCACCACTGCAGATTCAGGAAGAAAAGGAGGCCAAATATTGAAGAACCTCTCTCTGAATGCAACTTGGTGAATCCAGGGAAGACGCTCAAAGATTTAATTTTTGATATGACGACATCAGGCTCTGGATCTGGTACGTGTGTATGTGCTACCAATTGGAATGTACAGTACCTAGACATATACATTTTGATTAACCATGTATATAACAGCAAGGCATAGTGATGCCATGGGGATTTGTGTGAAGATGCCTGCTGCATAGTTGCCTGTTGTGTTTACATTATCTGGAGATGACATGGGAACTGGCACAACATTGCTTCTTTCCATAGTGCTCCTGAGTTGTGAGAAAATAATGTTTTCTCAGAATCATGTGACGCAGGACCACATGTGTTTTTTTTTCCTTTGACAAAATTGCTTCTCCTGCTGAAAAGGAATAATGAAATTCTTCACTATATTAATTATTACCCTGTATTTCTGTGTTTAATATAATCAAGGCAGTTTATGGTAAAAATAAGGTAAAAATACAGTGTAATGCAATATAAAGCAAAAGATATCATATAAAGTGTTTGGTATAAACATTTAAAAACTCATGAAATAGTGCCGTGTGTCCACAGGGTTGAACAGGTTCATAAACCTTACAGTATTGTGTTTCATTACCATTAAAATGGGCTGAAATGTGAATATTAACCAGTTTTCAATTCATTCCTATGGGAAATGGTGTTTCACAGAACGATGTTTCACACAACGTTGATTTTTTTGGAACCAATTAACATCGTTGTGTGAGGCACCAGTGTATAGTTATTAAAAAAGCCTTGTGTATAATGTGAAAATAAGATCTATTATTGATAAACTGTCAGCTTATTTTAGAGAGTGAACCTGTAATCCTGTGTATTTGTGTGGTAAACCACTCAGCCTTTTCAGTATATTAGTTCAGTATACTATTTTGCAACCACACAGTAAAGAAGCTTTACAACTTGTCATGAAGAATCAGTACTGTGTATTGTTGGGAACAGTTGTGGTAAAGATCTTTGTTTGGTAAGGTAAAAACCACATTTGGGCATCTAAAAATACACTAATATTGCTTATTAGATGTGCATTTAGGAATGTGAATGAAACTCTCCAGAAGATGTATGTCTTTCCTGAACAAAACAAATAAATGAGAGGAATATAGATAAATTTGATGCTACTTAGAATCTCTGAGGTACCATGTGGAAAAACATACCTTGACATTAAAAAAAATGGCTGAAAATGTGACAGTCGCTCTGAGGTCAGCGATGGCTCTCAGAAACCTTTATGTGCTTTCAGCATATTCTGCTTATCTCTCTACTGAAAAATTAAAATTGCTATATCTGACCATAAGCCAAATATGGAAGAGGTTTATGACTGTAAAACTATAGCAACCAATGCCTCTGCCTCATTTCCAGACTCTTCTGTGTATGTCTGTGAAAGGCCAATGTTTCTGGCTCCAAACACCAGGGTCACTTTAACAACTCCTGAGTGTTTCCTGAGCCAAAATGTTTACATCTGTTTTGAAATAAGAATAGATTTCAGTCCGTCTTCTTGCTTAACACCATGCTTTATGGGAACTGAAAGCAGGGACTGAAATCTTATTTCTGCTTATGCCATATGCTCTGAGAGCTCTACTATTATGCACAGCTGCTCTTACAGTTGGAGGAGTTTTGATGATACCATTTGACTTTCTCAGGCAGACTCTTACAGGGCCACTTCATTTTCAGCCATTAGGAGAAATATGAAAAACAAGAGGGGGGAAAAATCTCTCATTTCTCCCGTCACCCCACCAAAACCTTAGGGGGAAATTTTTCATATATCATCCATGTGATGGGAGGGGGGGTCTTATCATCTCTAGGTACCAGTCCGGGGACTGTGAGGCTATATAATATTATCACTACAAATTTAAAATAATCAAGGGTTAAAACTGTGGCAAACGTGATCATTTACCTGTGGGTTAGCCTGTGGAGGTTCAGGTGAATTTTGCTCTTGTGGTGTAATGTGATCCACGGACCGCTACTTGGATATAAAAGAAAGGGGAAATAAAAGTATTTACTGTAAAGGCTTGTCCAGGGCTGTAGGAGGAGGCTAATTATGACTATTCATCTAGAGCAATGGTTCCCAACCTTGGGTAACCCAGGTGCTCTTGGACTGCAATTCCCAGAAGCCTTCACCACCAGCTGTGCTGACTGAGGTTTCTGGGAACTGCGGTCTCAGAACACCTGGATTACCCAAGATTGAGAACCACTGATCTAGAGAGACAATGTCAAACATGGAAACTGAGGTGGTGCAACTATTTTTATTTATTTATTTATTTATTGAGTCAATGTCAAACGTGGAAACTGAGGTGGTGCAACTAGGCGGATGGTTCCCCCTCCCCATTTTCAGCATGAATGGTATGTGGCCTAAAGTATCCATGCTTATTCCCAAACATTAGGGTAAACCTGTGCAACAATAATGCATTGAACAGATTGCCATGCCTTTTCCACATAATCTTGCTTGATGAGCTGGATCCCCTTCTTTCCACACAGCTGATAATATCTGTAAATTTGTCAGAATAAAACATTGCATATATATTGACAACATTGTTCCTCTTCAGCCAGCAATGGGGATTTTCTTATGATTTCAGTTTTTTTCTGTAAATACCTTTGGCATTTCTGTGAAGCTTGGAGTGCCACTCTGCACAAGATGCTTCTTTTTTGTTTCATAATAGGCTCCAGTTCTATCAGCTCCTGTCAACGGCGTTGGCTAAGAGAGGTCATAGAATTGAAGAGCAACTGAGTTCTTTCAGAAGCAATAAGATCTTATCATTGGTATTAATGATGTGGGTTTCACAAATCGAAGTTGATTTCTGTGTACATATTGCTAATGTAGCGGAAAGACAACACTTCTTGGTTTCTAAGAAGCATTGCATACATGAATGTTTCATAACTCCTGCATTTCTCTTGCTAGGGCTACCCCTTCTTGTTCAAAGAACAATTGCAAGAACCATTGTTCTTCAGGAAATAGTAGGAAAAGGTCGATTTGGTGAAGTCTGGCGTGGCAAATGGTGCGGAGAAGACGTAGCTGTGAAGATCTTTTCCTCGAGAGATGAAAGGTCATGGTTTCGTGAAGCAGAAATCTATCAGACAATTATGCTGAGGCATGAAAATATCTTGGGTTTTATTGCCGCTGATAACAAGGGTATAGTGCTTCCAAACAGTTTCACAATGTTTGTCCTGTGCTGGCTTAGTCCAGTGGAATTATTTTTCTTGGAGAGGGGGGGAAAAACAATTCATGGGAAAAATAGAAATATATAACTCTATTTGTAGAACAGATTAGGAAAGCCTGATTTATGATTACTTGGGGACATTGTGCCTTGTGATACTGTTACAAACTGCCCAGAACCAGCCCTAATATTAGGCAGAATGGTTTAAGCATAGCTACTAGGAGTGGCATTGCCAGCTTCCTAGGAAGCTCCTCCTCCTGATGATGAATGCCTTGGTAGTTTCCTTTTGACTGATGCCAGAGCTGCATCTGACACATAACTCATCCTGGGCACCATAAAATATCAGATGCAGAAAATGAATATCCCATTGCCATTGTTGAAGAAAGATTCAGCACTCAGCCCAGTTGGCTTCTCTACATGGAATGGTGAAGGGATGCCATCTTGTCATTTGTCCCTAGCCAAAAACAGAATATTTTTGGGCCAACCCTGAAACTTCCAGGCAATCCTGGAAGTGTCAATGCATATGAGCCCAACTGCCAGCTGGAGGCCCTTTTTGCATTGCCTTCACCAGTAGAGGTCAGGAGGTTACTGGAGGGAAGGCTTTCTTCGTGGTTGTGTTCTAACGGTGAAATCCCTTCCATCTATTGCCTTTCTTATTGTCTTTTAGACACCAGATAGAGTCTATCCTGTATATGTGAAGTTCTGGCAAGTAATGTGTCCTGTTTTTCTTGTTGGTTCCTCCTGTAACCCTCCTCTGTCTATTATGGTGGTGGGTTTTTAACACAGTTCTAGACACCGATTGTGGTACTGGATGAGTGAATAAATGATTGCACCCTCTGCCTATCAGGTGCTGAGGGTCCTGTATGATAAAACGATTAGTTCACAGAAAAATCAAGGAACTTAGGAATAAAATGAAAAGCCTGTCTAATACAATTAGAAAGTGTAGAGGAAAAAAGAATGCCAAAATATCATCCAGCATGAAAAGTAAAAACAGAGCAAAACAGTCCTCGTTGCCCATCTGAAACAAAAGAGCAAATGAGCCATTTCACTTCCTTCAGGTGGAAGTTCCACAATCTGGGTGCTGTTACTAAAAAGGACCTGTGTCTTCAGAAGGTGGGGTATATAACAGATACTCTTAAGGTACCTCTTTTTATTTCTGTAATGGTATACAGCTTGCACATGCACACACATGCTTGATTTTAATGGTTTTTAAAATAAGGAAAATAAATACCTTCCTTTTTAAAAAATAAATAAATAAAAGGACACCAATTATTTTGGACACCTGCACATCCCCTATGGATAACAAAGGCACATCCACAGATTTGCCAAGATATTGTGTAGGCTCGTTTGTGTGAATGGCACTGCTCTCAGAGGCATTGTGCCTCTCTTCTGTTGTTCCTTAATGTTAACCTAGGCATATGCCTCTCTCCACAGATAATGGAACCTGGACTCAGCTGTGGCTTGTTTCTGAATACTACGAGCAAGGCTCTTTGTTTGACTACTTAAACAGTAACACTGTGACAGCTGATGGGATGATTAAACTGACCTTTTCGATAGCAAGTGGCCTTGCACATCTTCACATGGAGATTGTTGGCACCCAAGGTACAGACTTTTCTATGCAGATGCCTTCACACTAAACTCACTTTAAGTGGAAGCAGAGCTTGACTCAAATGGAAAATGGGTGACAAGCAATGCCAGCCCTACCATTAGGCAGTGTAGTGCTGGAGGAGAAAGAGTTGTCTGCTTGGATAGCTTCCTGAGCCAGGCTACCAGCTTCTTGTGCAATGGAGGTTGGTGTTCCATGGCGAGCACTGAAGAAAGATTCCACTGCCAATCCCATTGACTTTTGTACATGAAATGAGAGAGGGCACCAGTTTAGTTCTTTTGCCTTGGGCAACAGTAGATGACAAGGCAATAAAAGTCTACTGTGACTTCATCTCATCTCTTGGAATATTTGGTTGTCTGATTCAGCAGGGCATAATCCAGATCCTCAGGCTGATTAAGAGGTCTGTAGTAGACCCCCACTGTTGTGTCACCGATATTTCTCTCTCCGGTGTTTACCCAAATTGCTCTTGACCATTGTTCCATGCTCCAACGCATGGATCTCCTCCCAGATGTTCTACAAATATTGGTGTTAATTTCTCAAGAGTAATTTCAGTACGTACGAAATGAGCAATGCATTTAGTAGTTACTGTATCCATTTATAATATAATACAGTGGTGCCTCGCTTAGCGATTGCTTCGTTTAACGATGTATTCGCTTTGCGATGGGTTTCTTTCAGGAAATTTCCCCATCGTTTAACGATGTTCTCTATGGGGGAATTTCACTTAACGATGTCCGTTTTTGCTCCTTTAAAAGTGTCCGTTCAATGGATTTAAATGGGCAAAACAAAAAATCACCAAAAATTAATGAAGACTCAGAACAAAGCCAACCTAAGTGTGCATAGGTTTAACAAGGTGCACTACCGAATCCAAGCATTTAAAACAGGTTTCAAACATTTTAAGACACTTAAAAATGAGCGAAAACAGACAGCGGAAAGCCATTCAAAAGCGCTGAAGCCGGCTTCAGTGCTTTTGAATGGCTTTCCCTTGGGGGAAACATTGTTTCACTTAGCAATGTTTCCTATGGGGATTTTTGCTTAAGGATGGCAATCCGTTCCCATTGGAATGGATTAACCAGTTTTCAATGCATTCCTATGGGAAACGGTTTTTCGCTTAACGATGTTTTCCCATAGCGATGTTTTTTTTGGAATCAATTAACATCATTAAGCTGTATAATAATTTTTAAAATGAATGTGGCAGAGTGCTGCAAGCAGAATCAAAGCTTGGAAAGTAAGTGTAATGAAACCTTAAAGCCATCCATAACTGAGCAGTGGTAAGATGATGTTATGGACTTCAGCTTCTTGTATTTTTAGAAGTAACTTTTGAAACTCTGCTTTTACTATTTTATTATTGAATCAAGTTAAATTCTTGAGGATAGTTGGGGGAAGACAATATTGGTTTTAGAACAGAAGCAAGAAAGTACTGTAAGCAGAAGGCATTTATGTGAAGTTTGTGGTTTATATTCATTTAGCCCATGCTGAAATACTAAACATATGCTTTTGTTGTACTGTAGTTAAGATAGCAGAATGGCTCAATATATCAGTTGTAAAAATACAGCAGGAGATATGTTGATTGTGCAAAATATTTTGTATTTTGCAGGCAAGCCAGCTATTTCGCACAGAGACCTCAAATCTAAAAATATTTTAGTCAAAAAAAATGAAACCTGTGCCATTGCTGACCTGGGACTTGCTGTTAAGCATGACTCTGTGTTAAACACCATTGACATACCTCAGAATCCTAGAGTGGGGACCAAGAGGTAAGGCAGCAGGTTTAAAAATATATCAAAATAGTATCTTCCTTTCATGTATCGCGTGCCTGTGGAAGGTTGAGCTGAAAACTTAGTTTGTAATTGGCCTTTTTCTGTACCCTGTTTCCCCAAAAATAAGACCTAACCTGAAAATAAGCCCTAGTATGATTTTTCAGGATGCTCATAATATAAGCCCTACCCGAAAAATAAGCCCCAGTTAAGTGAAACCCTGCCCTCCACCACTGTGCAGCAACCAGAAGATGACATGACTGTAAAATTAATTGTTAGAATTGTAATTCTATCATTTTATATTTTATATCGTTTTGTTTTTATCTATGTAAAACTGTGTATATTTTAAATTGTTTTTATCTTGTTTGTTGTGAGCCGTCCAGAGTAGACTGTGTCTAGATGGGCGGCATATAAATGCAATAAATAAATTAATATAATAAAATAAAACTTCCCTTGAAAATAAGCCCTAATGTGTTTTTGGAGCAAAAATTAATATAAGACCCTGTCTTATTTTCAGGGAAAGACAGTAAAATGTGCCCATTTGTTTCAATGAAAGTCCAGGGACCTGTTAAAGACGGTGAAAATGTTTCACAGCCCCACTGGCCTCACTCTGACTTTGCATTGTGATATTGTCACAAAGTGAAACCAGAGTGTATTCCTGGACAAACTAGTGAGAAATGCAATACCAACGGCTGTTACATACAATGGTTCCAGTGTGAACCCTCCGTTTGCATTGCTCTTGTATATCTGAGTTTCTTCAGATCAAATGATAGCATTGTACTAAATGTGTGCTTTGATTTTGCATGGTTCCTCTCTCTTTTCTCTTTTAAAATAGTACCTGTGAGCAGATAGAAAAATCAGGATAGGGATCCCATGGTGTTCATCCATCCCCTTACATTTGAGTCCCAGGCTTCTTCCATCCCCAAAGCTGCATTTTGCCTCCAGAGGGGAACAAGCATAGGTGGCAAAAGTTGCCTTCCTTCTTACACAAACTGCAGCGTCATCAAAGCAGTTTTCTTTAGAACTGGGAAATGAGGGTAAAAGGCTAATTCCTTCTCCCCGAGCTATAGTCTTGAAGATGATCAGCAGCAACACTACAGGTTGCTCTTTGAGAGACAGGCAGGCAGGCAGACCAACAGCCAGACCAATAAGGAGTTGATATGTGGCTTCATTTACATTGTTTGTTACAGTGCACAAATGGTTTTCAACTCTTGCTTTAATTGATCTTATTTGAAGCCTTTTCCACATTATGATTGCTAGTCTAGACTGAACAAGGTGAAGAAACAAGCTGGCCCCACCCTAGTGAAGATAGGATCTGTTCTGACTTTTCTTGAACATTCATAGGTCAAGATAGGGACCAGCCAGAACCTCTGCACCCCACTCTTATATGCATAGTTATGCAAATTATTTGCAAGAAAAGGAATGGGGTTCAATTTCTAAATCTTTGCAGTTATGTGCCATCATGCCACGTCTGACTTGCAGCAATCCTAAAAGGATTTTTGAGGCGTGTGAGATGTTCATGGTGTGGTTTTACCATTGCCACTAACTCCCACCTCAACCTAAGTGAGTTTCCAGGGATGAGCAGAGATTGAACCCAGCTCTCCTGAATCCTTGTCTGTTATTCTCACTAACTCCCACCTCACCCTAAGTGAGTTTCCAGCTCTCCTGAATCCTTGTCTGTTATTCAGCCTCCTAATCCTTGTTACCTATGTAAGCATGCTGTTTCCTCTGCTGTGATGAATATATGAGTTGAAGCACCTTTTTCATTGGAAGGTATATGGCTCCAGAAATACTCGATGATACAATGAACATGAATATCTTTGAGTCCTTCAAGCGTGCAGATATTTACTCTCTCGGGCTGGTGTACTGGGAGATATCGCGCAGATGCTCAGTTGGAGGTACAACATATATATCTTATTAAAGGTTCTGTAATCTACCAAATTGCTGAATTTCTAACTCATTCTTGACATAGCATAATAGAGGGCAAAATGCATTTACACTTTTTCCCTTCAAAAAGCACACACTCAGTTCCAAGAGGAATTCTAAGTGGCTACTGAACAGACAGACAGACAGACAGACAGACAGACAAGACAAGCCACCTGGATAATTAAATATTTTAACCTCCTGGATTGGGTCGCTAGAAATTGATCAAGGAAATAAAACGTATTGCTTACAAAATACAGCCATTGTCACTCAGTGTAACTAATAATTAGCCAAATTGTTAGCCAAAATCTGTTTCGCCAACATCTCAGTCTGCTCTTTATTACCACCCCTGGCCAAAGATAATTATTTGTATGTTGCAGGATTACTTTTCATCATTAATGCTGCCTGTCCTCTTGCTAATGATTCTTTGGCTCCTACCCAGAATGTTGGAATTTTACCTGCCCTTACAGGGGTTTGGCCAACTTCCTAGTCAGTCACCTCTGCTAGACTGGCTTCCCATGATTGACAGGAGGGGTACAAAAAAAGATACCTGCCAGTGCCAGCGACCTTCCTGTGCTACAAGTTTGGATGATTTTAGAAACTTCCAATGATGTTTTTTAACTGGTTTCCTTTTTTTTGGAAGCAGAAATTTGCAGAAACACTGTTTTGAGGAAACATTATTTATACAGAAGGGGGTTCTACTTATCTGGTGATGCATCAGTGTTCCCTGCCACACCTACAGAGGTTTTCAAAACGGTCTTGCATAAAGTTTGAAAGGACCCCTAATAAAAATACATTTGTACTATATTTCTTTTCCCAGGAATTGTTGAGGAGTACCAACTACCATATTATGATGTGGTGCCTTCTGATCCTTCAATAGAAGATATGAGAAAGGTTGTCTGTGAACAAAAACTTAGACCAAATATCCCAAACCAGTGGCAAAGCTGTGAGGTAATTCTCCTTCTTCTTCTCCTCCATCATGTTTTATTTGCTTTGTTTACAGTATCTATATCTGCAAGTATATCCATATGTCTTAACAGTGTACATTTTAGTTGAATTGAAGCATAGAAACTTACTAATAAAGAACATGATTTCTTTATTTGTTACACATACATTCCTTTTAAAGTAAAAGGGGTCAATGTGAAGCAAAATTCAGACATAGAAATCCTCTCCCCAAGTCCTGGACTAAAATAAACTAGCATTAACCAGAGTTTGGGAAGTTGCTTTTTAAGACTAATACGGTATATAACTTGCTACAAAAACCTTTCCTCAATTATGCTGCTTCTAGGACTGTGGAGAACAGGGTTTGAAGCCATCTTAAAGTCTCTATAAGTCGGTTTCGACTTGACAGCAGAACACATACACATACACACACATACTTTTCACTGATTTATAGGAACTTTTTAGGGGGGGGAATCATCAGAAATGTCAGCAAAATGAGTAAAATTAGAAAAAGAAAGCCCAAATACCTAAAGAAAGCCCTCCACTCTCAAATCATGAGAAATTTTCTAAGTCAACACCATTCAATGTATTCGCGAAGGCTTTCACGGCCGGGATCTAATGGTTGTTGTGGGTTTTTCGGGCTCTTTGGCCGTGTTCATTACACAGAAGGAATGGTAATGGTATGAGCTAACAAAGATTTTACACATTAGGCAAAAAGAAGACAAAAATTAAAAATTAATTTTTTCTTTTCTTTTTCTTTTGTTTCCCCCTGATATGCTAGCAAAGACTAACACAGCTACCTCTTCTGAATAATTTAACATTGTAATTTTTTCAGACAAGTAAGGTTTCAAGTACCACATCAGATCTGATGTAGAAAATACCTTGTCCTCATTTCTAAATGAATAGCACATCTCCACCTGGTAATAGCATAATTTCAGCCCTGGAGATGGGTGGTGCTTCCCCCCCCGGCCCCCTTAAAATTGCATAACAACCAATGCTGGATCAATGCACCTACCTCTCTTGTCCAGAATTCTGTTCATACAGTGGCTTGAATCCAGAGCAGCAGTTACAGGAGTGGAAGACATTTCTGCTTGCAACTAAAGCTTGCCCTGCCATTAGACCAAGGGGGACGGTTACCTTAAGTGGTAGCCTACCATACGAATATTTTTTGCTGCCACTACTTCTAAAACCCCATCAGCTGGTCTCTGGAACTAGCGATTTCAGAACTACCAGGCTTTGAGGACCTCTCAATGCAGGCATTTTTGAAAGGAAAAAACCCCTGTACTATGTGGCAACTAGTAATTAGAAAACAGCAAACTCCGTGGAAAGCTGGTGGCTCTATCTCCGTGCAGAGACATTCTGGACCAGCAGAATTATGGGAGTCGCCAGCAGCAGTAGCAGCAGCAGTGGCGACAAGAGCTGTAGACCCCAAAGGAAGTGGTGGAGGTGGAAATGCCTGGGTGGGGGCAGAAAGAAGAGATAGAGGCATTGGGGGGGGGAGGGAGAAGAGTGTAGCTGGGGTGGGGGCAGCAGGAGAAAGGATGAGTGGAGATGATAGCAATGGGCAGTGCTTCTCTCCCCACCTCAGGCAGTAGACCTGTTGGGGCTGCCCCCTGTGTGGCATACACTGTTCTAGGAGGTCTGCCAATCTTCAAAAGCAGGCTTTTGATGTACAAAACAAGGGGAAACTGTCATTCTCTGAGCAGAACAGGAATGGGTCAGAGTACCAGAACTGATTAATGCAAATTACAATTTTTTTATGTTTAGTACAATAGATAATACTTGCAAAGTTATAAAATACCTGCTTACGGCTTCAACCTTTTTGAAACCTTTCCTTGTCTTCCTGGTGGTTTTCACATCGCACTGAAGCTACCCATTGGGCATGAAGGGCTTTTTTTTAAACTGTGCTTTGCTCTTTCTTCAGGCACTCAGAGTAATGGGCCGAATAATGCGCGAGTGCTGGTATACCAATGGGGCGGCTCGGCTGACAGCACTTCGCATTAAGAAGACAATTTCTCAGCTCTGCATACGAGAAGATTCCAAAGCTTAAGTTTGCACACCCTGCGGAAAAGAAGGGAGAAGATCAAGTCCATTTTGTTTGTTTCTGCCTTTTGTTTCCTGATTTTGCTCTACCTCACTTCATGCTAAGTATAGTGTTTAAGAGGCCAAACCCCAGAATGCAGGAAAATAGAATCAATCATATGTTCAAATTCATCCATGTGATTTTTTTTTATTTTGGCACATGAATTCTGTCCCATCTACCTTATCTGGTAAATGAGGTTGTTGGAAGTTTTTGGTCTTTTTTTAGGAACTTGGGTCATGGTCCACTCACCTGACCCACTGTGTTGTTGACTTTCCTGCCCCTGCTTTATCAGCCCAAGTTCCAACAAATCCCAGGACACATCTGAGAACGAAGCATGTTGGGGCGTGTTATCACCGCCACAGAAGATTCTGCTGATGGTGTACAAAGCACTGAAGAAAATACAGTATTCATTGTTCAAAAGGTCTGTATTCTAGGGTCTCTGTATTAAGAGTATCTGTTCCATGCCATATTCCCTGCCTGCCCTGTATTTTTCATTCCTCCAGGAAATCGTAACTGATGGGTAGCTTTCCAGTTCATCTAAAGAACTGATGTCTGTGGTATGAGATGTGCTATTAGTTGTGGAGCATCCTCGTAAGATCTCCTGTTCGTACAGGCCTTGCAGAGTCTCCATAGATCTTACACACTCACAAAGATGCTGGGTTTGCCATTTCCTTTTGGAAGGCCCTCAAGTTGTGGTGTGTCTATGATGTAACATTTCTTACGCAGCTGGGGAAGGCAGGCACTCCTGTTGGCTGGAATTAGAATGCACTATGTATATCTGCTAAATCAGGAAACCTAATGATTGAAAAAATGCATGCAAAGGGAACCACCCTCCCCTGGAATCTCCACTTAGAAGCATCAAACTGAAGGTGTCTTGAGAGACACCGCAAGGAGCTGCTGTCAGTCACGGTAGACAGTCCTAGCCTGGATGGACCAGTGGTCTAACTTGCTGTATGAGGCAGCTTTCTACATTCCTCATAAGCAATTGTGCCCTTATCCTCAACACAGATACCATGTTTGTCAAGGCATTGAAGCTTTTGCCACAAAACCTTGTAAAATAGCTGGTGCAATATGTAACTATCTTTTGTTTAATGTTCAATTAACCAAATAAGTAAACTTCACTGGAACCTTGTATGCTGTGAAGCAAACCTTATCGTTCTATTATTCATTGCCTTCAAAGTGGCCATTTATTGAAAGCTTCATGTGCAACTTGATAGTAAAATGTACATTTGTTATGTATCTTTTTTAAAAAAAAAAACATGTTAAGCTTCTGATTTGTGAGCAAAATATTCCAAAATCTTAGCTGTGGACCATTGTTGTGAGGATCAATTAGACATTTGTTTTGTTGTACCAAGACTGAGGCTATGGACCATATAGGGTTTGCCTCTGCTCTAGAGGAAGTGGAGGGCCCTGATCTGGATCATGACTCTGGTATGGATAGTAGAAGTGTTTTAAACCAACACAACCCTGATCTTGGGCGACCTCACTGTGTCTGCAAATTGTACTGCAAAATGAGAATCTGTTGCTTTTCATGTCTGATCTGGCCCTGAGTCTTTGTAGCCTGGGCTAGTTTTTAGCCTAGTGTTGCAAGCTCATGCCTGCACAGTACACAGCTGCGCTGGGCTGTGACTGAAGTGAAAATGTAAAAAATAATGACACTCATAGGACCATCCTTGTAGCCCACCTAGGAGCTGGTATCTGTGTACAGTGGCAGATGATTCCCATTGTTTTTTATTTGAGCTGACATCTGATGATATGAAATCTTTGTGTGTGGTGATTCATCATTGAAATGTATTCATACTAGTAGGGCTTTTTTTGTTGCTGCAGGACACCCAGGATAAATGTTGCACATGTGAACAGTCCTTAGCTCTGTACAGGCAAATCTGTGGTTCACCAAGCTAGTGTTTAAATTGCCTCTTGCATTTTCTGAACTAAATAATCACCTTTCTGCCATTTTACTATGCCCTTAGCTTTTTATTATGACAATTTGTGTGGCTTCTGTTGAAAATGCCAGAAATAAGAGATGCCTTTTACATGCAGAGTGCCATTTCTGTTCCTTGTTCTTCAGCAATCCATTAATATAGCTGGGAATCAATCATTCTCTCTCTCTCTCTCTTTTTGTCTGTCCGTCCATCTGTCCATGTGTGTGTGTGTGTGTGTGTGTGTGTGTGTGTCTCTCTCTCTCTCTATATCTGTCTCTTTCTTTGGCATGGCAGGAGTCTATAGCTGTCTCTTTCTTTCTTTGGCATGGCAGGAGTCACGTACCTGTCAACTGTCTTGCCCAGTGTGATGATTTCTTATGGGGATAATCAGTTAGTTGCCTTGCAGAAAACATCTTTAACTTGATGCTGCCACAAGCTGCACAATTATGTTTTGAAATACTTTGTTACAGATAAGCCCATGCTGTGTGTTGTCCTGATGTTGAACTGCACATTCATGGCTCTGCTGGGGAGTGGAGGGGTGTATTAAAAGGTACAAAATACATACATTGGATATGATTAATGTGCAATAATCAGAACCCGAAGAATTTGCATGTTTCAATTAGCTGCATAGTATCTACGTCACAAGAAAGCAATTATCTTCAAAAGAGATGCTATATATTGGGGCAGAGCCCCATTTCGACCAGTGTAGGGGGAGGGAACCAGTGTAGTTTTTCATTCTGTACAGCTCCACAAGAGCTGTGCCTTTTAAAGAAATGGGATTTTAAAAAGATCTTCAGCCACACATTAGATTCACATGTAGATATGGAACTGAATGATGAATTGTGCACAGTCTAATCTATATTGTGACAAGTAAAATATTTATTTATTTTAAACATCGCTTTGATATTGCTGCTGCCTCTACTTTGTAAATAATGGGTATTAATGTTGTATTTTTGTATACTTGCTATTCTCTCCTGAAAGTGTATTTTTCTAAAGCAGCATTTTTGCTGTATTGCTTCTTTACCATTTGTTTTTGTGAAAACATGTAAACTCTTTTCAGTAATAAACACATGATGCCTAGGAATTGCATGGTGTTTTCTTAGGGTATCAGAAAGCCAACGGTTAAAGCACACCTTGGTTATAAAACAGATGACTCAAGAACTTCAACTGATTTTTTTTAAGGTAAAAGCAATGCACATAATGCTATTCTTAATTCCTTTCAACTCCAAACATCCAAACATTTGAAGTAATCTGTAATTCACACACCACTGTTTTCAAGGATGGTGTTCCATTTTGTTTTAAGATCATAATCTGAGTGGAAAGACACGCATCCTTTGGCTGAATCCAGACACAGAGTCCTTGCTGCAAAGGGAATGCTCTATCTTTTATCTGTTTATTCTACGCGGTCTGTGGCCAAGTGTCATCAGCAGATCCAAGAGGACTGAGAGACAGCCAAAGTGGTAGCGCCAAGCCTGTCAGAGCAGGAGGAGACACTACTGTCAGGTGACAGAAAACTTTGTCCCTGGATAAAGTACAAGGTGAATCCCTTTGTACGCTACAAAAACTGCATCCAAGGAAGGCAATGGTTAGGATGCAAGGAGGATTTTCTTCCGCATACTCTCTCTCTCTCTATGTCCTAGCTGTCCTAGGCCTCCTCTCTTCCCCCTTGTCTCCCCTTTGTGTCGCTCTCTTTTCTCAAGGGAAACCAGGTGGTCTCGTGTGTAATGCAGAGAATATTCTTGCTGATCTGGGAGTACTGACAGCTAAGGTTTTAATGGTGTGATTGTCCCACTTTGTTTATAGCTGTGATGAAGGCTTCAGGTATTGTCATTGTTCACTTATGAATGACATTCTCCTGCCATTTTCCCTCTACCACAAGATATCTGCTGAGTAGGAAAGGAGGGCAGGAGCGTAGTGCCTTTTGGCTGGTACTGCTGGGAATTGTCCATCTGGAAGTTAGATTAGTTTCTCACAAGTAGTTTGGGTTGCTTGTAGGTTTCTTTGAAGTATCATTAGTTGTACCTAATTTAAGTGGTCTGTTTGTAACCCTCGGGTAAACTGTTTAAATATCATGTCCATAAATCAGTTTATGCATGCATCACAATGTTTTTAAGTAGAACAACTTATTTAAACAAAGAAGAAATAAAGTCAGGGGCCCAACAAGCACATGCAGCAAACCAGCCTTGCCTACAAACACAGAGATCTAGTTTTATATTAATGTGATCAGTGTGCCATCTGCTGGACACAATCAGTATCCTTTCTATAGGCATTTTAGTGAATGTTGGGTTAATTCTGAGTAAAATAAGTTTCTTGTCAAGAGTAGCCAATCTGGTGCTATGATGTTTTTGGCTACATCCTTGCATGGCCAACTGTTAAGGATTATGGAAGCTGCAGTTCAGAACATTCAGCAGAAACTTGTTTGCTAACATCTGTGCTATGTGAAAGAAAGCTTGTGTGTGTGTATGTGAACACTTGATGTGTTGTGAATCCACACAGACACCCAAATAATTTGAAACAGAGGGCCAGAGGGGACGGGAGGTGTGGTTCCATATTTATGTGAAACTATTTGTTTGTCATAAAAGCAGCAAATCTGTATGACTGATTGTGTCACATAATGAAAAGCTACCAAAGCTGCTGTAAAACCCTTATAGGCCATCAAAAGGAAATCTCCCAGCAGCATATAACCACATGTAGCATCTGAATTTAATTTTAGTAGGTCCACTGTACAGTTCATTTTAAAGAGTTCTCAGTAATTATTCTGTTTTGACTGCAGTTTACATGGTATTCATCTGCTGATCAAGAGAAGACAAGAATTTGGAACCAGGAAAAGTGGCTGGCAAAAATGCAGTAATGGAAGTAAGCTGGAGCTCCAAGGCAAGGATAGCACAAAAGTCCCTGACTTTGACTAGGAAGTAGACATGCTGGTGAATATAAAAATGAATCAGGATATTCAACGAATACAGCTGATTTGTCAGATATTTGTTGCTTCATATTCTTGGGGTCCAGAGACCCCCAACAAATAAGAAGCAAGGAATATAGCCCTTTTTGTCCCTTCGTTCCCTAGCTGCTTATGCCCCCCCCTCCCGTGGATCAGCTGTTCCTTGGGGGCATAAACAGAGGGATTTCCCCTTCAGGAGGCTGAATAGACCAGATGGGCGGGATATAAATCAAATCAATCAATAAAATAAATCCGACCCACCCCCGGGGCTGGGGGATGGCTTGGTCCCACCCACCCCCGGGGCTGGCGGATGGCTTGGTTCCCCTATCCTCCTCTTCCTGTGGCCATGTGGCATAGGAAGAGGAGAGAAGGGATTAAAGCAGAATCAAACCAATACTGCAGCCCCTGCTTGCCTTTGCAAAGGCAGCAGGGTTGTGGCATGGCTTGGGTCCTGGTTTCCCTCCTCTTCCGATGTCCCCATGGCATAGGAAGAGGAGGGAAGGGATAGCCCCCATGGCCTCACTGACAAATTGATTCATGGTTCGTCTTGCCACTGGGGTTGCAATTTGTGGTTTGTGGCGAAGCACCATTTTGGCGCTTCATACCCTCTCTGCTAGGAAGCATATATATATTAGTTGTACTTAACTTTTCACACATGGCTTCTCCGTTTTGGCTTGATGTTTGTAAAATAAATCATGACATGGTGTAATGTGTCGTGTGTTGTTCACTTAAGGTTGTATTTACCTAGTTTTCAGACCTGCTAAGGACCAGATGATTTTTATCGTATCCTGATACAGTACATAAAACCATAGAATTCAGGAAGGGAAGGGTGTACATTCTTTTTCACATGGCTGTAGATGTTTAGTCCCTGGCTAATCACTACAAAAATCACAACAAAAAGCTGACAGGAGAGATCACCTCAAACCAATAGCGGCCACCACTTCCCCTTCCTTCAACCATCCAAGATGAGCAGAGCTTAAACCAGCAACTGGAAGGAATTCTGTTGTGGGATCTGTCCCCTTCTGAAGTATTAGCTATCCCTCTCAGTTTGTCACCATTTTAATTGTGACTTCTTTCCAGAATAATGAGGAACCATCAGGGAGCACCCTTTGGCTATGGCCCATCAACCGGCTGTATAATTCATTTCATATTCTCACTAGGTGTTGTTTCTTTTCTTTTTTTTGTTTTTTAGTTAGGTGCTCTAGTACCCCCCCCTTTCATCTATCCCGACAACAGCCTCCTTCACTGCCTTCTTTACAATTCTGCCTTCGCTTTGCCACCCTCTAGCATTGCTCCAAACATTTCCACACAGTTCTTCCCTTTCCTCTGAACATAAACGGAGAACCTCTTTAGCTCATTCTGGGCTTTAGGCCTCCTGATGTCCTCCCTACAAATATTGACCGGGGGACTTGTCCCTCCTTTCATTTCCTACATTTCCTTTTTAGCTGCTTTATACTTTTCTTCTTCATGGAAACACTTTTATCCTACCTTTGAGAAATTGCCAGCCATTCTTTCTCTCAGTGTTTCTGTCTGTGGAATCTCTTCCAGTACTCCCTTCAGCCTGAGGTGGGTAATGGATGGCTTTTGGCCCACATGCAACTTAATTGGGGCCTCAAGGCCTCTTCTAGCATCCTTCACCCCTCCATTTGTTTTTACATTTTGATTATGGGGATCATTTAGTTAGTTAGTTATTGGCAATTTTGCCATGTTTTGAACGGCTACCAGAACCCTTTGCCTCCCATATCCCTGATTTATGAAATCTGTTTTAAATGTTTTTGGTCACTAGAGGGTGCAAGGATGCTTTTTCCATATCCTATCGGTAAAGAAATGTGAACAGGAGGGGTTTTCAGGAACAGGTGTGGTCTTCCAAAGTCCAGGGATGAGTATGTGCATCCCCCAAACCTCTGAAAGATGCCCACCTTCCTGAAATCAGCTTTTTTAAAAAATTGAAAGCTTATTAAAATCGCCTCCCAAAATGCACATCATTCTGCCCTCAGTATAATCAGTAGAGAACGGTCACTTCCAACCAGTGTTTCCTTATTGACCTGTTCTTTCCTGTTGGGGAGGACCAGATGCAGGACAGCTCCTCTCCTCCTTGCTTCATTCACCTTCTGGGAGACAAAGCCATCAGCAAAGGCAAGTGAATAATTTGTTGTACCTTTCATTCTTGGCAGAGTTGGGTTACCAAGATATATCAGGGTAGATTACTACTCCACCTTGAATGTTTGGTA